TAGCTTTGCGCCTTTCCTGGAACTCACTTGGTAGCCCAGGCTGGCCTCAAACTCACAGAGATCCACCTGCCTCTGCCTCCCGAGTGCTGGGATTAAAAGGTGTGCGCCACCACTGCCCGGCTAGACTCCTTTTCTGAAAGGAGAGATTAGTTGGTGTGAGGGTTATTAATGGAGTGGCTTGAATGTCTCTGGGGAGGAGGAATAGTCGGGTACAGGCTGTCTATATTGCTCTCTAGTCACAAACTTTTCTTCCATCCTAGCAGTGTCTAGAAACTCTGAAACCAACAACAGAGTTCTTCGTAACAGTTATTCTTGGGGAGTAGGGTGCCCAACTATTTATACAGTGTCAGAAAGATCAAAAGATGAAATTGATCTGTGGTTCACTCAGTGTTCTATGATTTGTATACAGTGGGCAGCTCACCCTGTCTATTTTTGTTGTTTTTTGAGACACAGTTCCAGCTGTCCTGGAACTCACTCTGTAGACCAGGCTGGCCTTGAACTCACAGAGATCTCCCTGCCTCGGCCTCCCGAGTGCTGGGATTAAAGGCGTGTGCCATCGATGCCTGGCTTGCTTTATATTTTGCCACACTACCACATGTGGGGAGGCACACCCCTTTAATCCCAGCACTCGGGAGGCGGATCTCTGTGAGTTCAAGGCCAGCCTAGACTACAGAGCGAGATCCAGGAAAGGCACAAAGCTACACAGAGAAACCCTGTCTCGAAAAACCACAAAAAAAAAAAAAAAAAAAAGCACGAGCTTTAAAACACATTGTCATAAATACTAATATTTTGTATGTATTATCTAACTAATTAAAATAAAGGAGACACTTCCTAGTTATTGTCATTAATCTGCAGGAAACTAATAATATGCCATTTTACACTGTTTAAGGTATAAAAAGAATGTTTTCTTGTACCTCAAATCTTGTTTCTTAGAAAGTAGAAGTGATACAGCAATATGCTCATTTATATTATAGGTCACACACATACACATTTAACACACACACACACACACACACACACACACACACACACACACACACACACAATTTAACATGTATCAAACAGACCTGTGATTGACAAGAAAAAGCAAGTGTATTCCGTGCCATGTTCTGCCATCTCTGCATTGGGAAGGTGGGAGCAAGGTGTCACTTGTTCAGGGTCACTTGCTGCTTTGTAGCAAATTCAAGGCCAGGTATGCTACATAAGCACTTGTTTCTCTAGCAGAGGAATTGTTCAGTCCCCAGCACCAACATGGGGCTCACAGTTGTCTATAACTGTAGTTCCAGGGGAACCTCCAGCAGCACTGTGCTGTGCACCTACATTTCGAGCTGGCAAACACTCATGCAGAAAAAAATAAAAATAAGTAACTTTAAAAATGAAACATCATGTGACCTGGAGAGGTGGCTCAGGGGTTGAGAATACTTGTGTTTCTGTGTCTATGTATGCATATAATGTATAATTTTTGGTAAGTATAAAACAGTATGATTTTCTGAGGTTTTATCGAATAACCTTGGTGTTATTTGCTCTCATCCTCCCCCTTCTGCATCTGTCTTGACCTCCCTCCCTCCCCAGTTGAAGCTGCCTCCCGTTTTTCCCTTTCCCACTTCAGGCACCTCTCTCATGCCCCAATCCCCACCGGATCCCTTTGTCCTTTCCTCGTTTTTGTGGTTACTCCATGTTGTATCCTCACATCGGGAGATTTTTTTTTTCATCATGAAAGTATATTGGATTTTGTCCAAGGCTTCCCTCTCCATCTACTGAGATGCTCATGTGGTTTGTGTCTTTAAGTTCATTTATATGATTTATTATATTTATTGACTTATGTATGTTGAAACAACCCTAAATTTCCAGGATAAAAGCAGCTTATGCCACCAGGACCATATGCCCAGTATTGGTTCCACCGACAATGAGTTTGGCCCTCCCACATAAATCATTAATCAAGAAAATGCCCCGCAGACCGGCCCAGTGGCCCATCTGATGGTGGCATTTTCTCTCTTTCAGTTTCTTCTTGCTAAATGGTGTCAACTTGACAAAAGCTAACCAGTTGTCTGTCTCTCCTCTTATCTGTTACTTTCTTCAAATAGTGTTGTTGGGAAGCATCTTTTTGAAATTGTTCTCCTTTGTTTCTGATTCTGATTGGTTTTTAGTTTTTTTTTCTTTTGTTGCTGTTTTTAGAGAGGATCTTCTACAGCCCAGGCTCCCTGTGGACCTCTTCTTACTTCCTCTGCATCCCACGTAGTAGGGTTGCTGGCTTATTTCCCCTTTCCTGGCTTCCTCTTCCTTTTTCCCACTTGTCGTGTTTCTTGAATCCTTTAGCCCCTCTTTGGTGGTTTGTTTGTTTGTTTGTCTTGTCTGCCTTCACAGTCCTCGTGCTTGAGGAAGGCCTTCACATTTGCTCAGGCTCCTTCCACAGGCTCTTGTCTGGGACTGGTCTCCTGTGCACATCTGGCCATTCAGTGTGTCATTTTAAGCCTCACCGCTTTTCTTTTCCTACTACATCTCACAGTTGGTTTGGTGACGTTCCTCCTTATTTCGCAGCCATTTTCTTGGTGTGTCCGTCTGTATTCTCCTTCAGGTACCATAGGTGGATTCTTCGGAAATTTGGGGGATGTTCTCTTCTTTTCTAATACAGTTTTCCTTGTTTGGGTTATGCCTTAATTCTTATTTGATAAGGTCTTACTATGCAGCTATAGCTTGAATTCTATGTAGACCAGAGTAGCCTTGAATTTATAGAGATCTGCTTACCTCTGTCTGCTGGGTACTGAGATTAAAGGTGCACCACTATGCCCATGCCTTATTCTTCTTCTTGATGTGTGGAATTTATTAATAACAGTGACCTTTACTGTGCTAGAATTTCTGGAGCTTCTCAAAGCTATCCCAGGGACGTGTGTAATGGCCTTTTGTAGTGGGAATTCACTCTGCCCATGACCTTCGGCTATTGGCCTGATAGAGGTGGTCCTGTATCAGTGAGTCTGTTTTCCCCATAGAACCCCTTAATAAATTTATATATATATATATATATATATATATATATATATATATATATATATATATATACACACATACAATAACAAAGACCGTTACAGCCTTTGGCCTGTGTTTTCATTGGCATTGTACCTACCATTCAAGTTCCAATGCTCTTCCCATTGGCTCTTTGAGAATGGTGAGTCAGAATTCAATGTTTTGGTCAGGTCTGAAACAAGACCAGAATTGAATGTCTGATCCACTCTTTTTTTTTTTGGTTTTTCGAGACAGGGTTTCTCTGTGTAGCTTTGCGCCTTTCCTGGAGCTCGCTCTGTAGCCCAGGCTGGCCTCGAACTCACAGAGATCCGCCTGCCTCTGCCTCCTGAGTGCTGGGATTAAAGGCATGTGCCACCACTGCCTGGCATCTACTCTTAATAACATCCCAAGGAAGGCGCCAGAAATTAGGCTATTCTCCAGTCCCTGCCTTGGTGATCTCCATGTAAGCAGGGTGTGAGCAGGTACAGCATCATGACTGTTCTGCCGTCTACTGCTTTGTGCTAGGAATGGAACCCAGGCCTCACACAGCCGAGCAAGTGTCTCTCCAACACTTGCTTTCCCTTTTCTATTTTGTGTCCTAGTCTTTGTGCAAGCAGCGACAGCTGGTGAATTCCTCACAGAGGTTTATTTTGGCACATCCTAAGGAAAAAACAGAGACCGTGTTCATTTTAGTGCTGGAATTGTTTTCCACTCCATTGCACTTTCAGCCATATCTCTATGTTAATTATTATTGATTGTTGTAAAGGTTTAAAACCTGAATAATTAATATACCACCATATACTTTGAGCTCTGTTTCAAGCCTGTGCACAAACCAGAAAAACTTCTGTAGTGGTTTGAATGCAATGGACCCATAGCATCATATGTTGGAATACCTGGTCTCCATTGGTGAATGGTTTGTGAAGGATTAAGAGGTGTGGCCTGGTTGGAGGAGGTGTGTCGCTGGGGGCAAGCTTGAGGTTTTTCCAGACTGGCATAATCTGCAGTTGGTTTCCCCTGCCTTCTGCTGGTTTCTCTTCAGCTGGGGCTGAAGAATGAGCTGTCATTATCAAGAGACTAGCACTACTGACATGGATCTATTGCTTTCCTAGGACAATTGCCATTTGATAGCTGGGACTGGGAAATCAGCTGTGATTAAAAGTAGAGCAGAATCACTGAGGTACTAGCTTCTGGGAGTATTTCCTCAGTACACTGAGCTATGGTCTAGAGGGGGTCAAGACTGAATTTCACGCTCACAGCTGCACTTGGTAATGTATGAGTCTCCACGTGGTACTGATTTTGAAAGCATGAAGAGGTAATGGAGAGCAGCTGGTTGGCAGTGTGAGAGGCCTAGAAAGGCCGTTGTTGAGAGTGCCTGCCTCCTTTGCAGTGGAGAGCCCGTGAGTGACAGGGTCATGGAAACTGGATGTATGGAAACATCAAGACCAAGACCATCCACTATGGTCAAGTCACTTCTATCCTAGAAATGCAGGCTTGGTTCAGTCTCTTTGGAGCTGTCCACCTATGAGTGGAGTAGTCATATCATTTAGATAGTTATAGTTTTAGGGTTTTGAAGAACATGCGCAGTGTTTTTCCCAGTGTCTGTGCCAAGTTACAGGGGCACCGAGCATCAACGTTGTTGTTATCCATGATCCTAACAGCTTCGCTTTGCACATTTCACGTGAGAGTAAATTCTGAGACTAGGCTGCAGACAGCTGCGGGAACCCTTGTGACTTTGCATTTTATTGTTACCATCAGAAAGTCTTTTGACAAGGTGTAGAAGATCCTGCAGAGAAAGGAAGGTAGAGGCTCTACATGTGTTCATAGGCGCGCACACACATGTCCAGTGCAGTCCTGTTCAGGCACAAAGAACAGAATCTTGTCTGTGATCATATAGATAGGATTATTATCTCAGACATGGAAAGACAAGTAGCACATGATCTCAGCCATAGACAGACTCCAGAGAATTTGATGTCACTGAAGTTGAAGGTAATACGGGTATTTCCAATGGTCTAGTGACGTGAGGAAGAGATGCTCGGCGGGAAGTATTGATCAGTGGGTGCACAATGCACTTAGGTAGGAGCAGGATGCTTAGGGTACTGTTGCACAGAATCGTGACAGTATACAGTCCTGGAGTGTGTATTTCAGAAGCCTGGAAGTCAGGCTTTTGGACATTTTAAATATAAAAGAAATTTTTTGAATAACATATTTAGAATTACTTAAAGACCATGAAAGGATATATCTAGTATTATCTAACAAAGTATATATCTAATAGTATTTAGTCATTAATATGTAAATCTTGTTTTTATAAGTTAACATAAACAGTAAGAATATTACTGCCTTCATAGATCATTTTGAACATTATATACTAAGAAAAACAGGGGAACTGAAATGTAGAAAATTTACAAATAAGAGAAAAAAATAAAAGGTTGTGTCATGTATTGATAACGCTAGACCTCTGAAGAGCACTGCAACTGGGTCATGAGTTCAAAATCTGCTTTAGGAGCACAGCAGATACACGAATACCTGAAGGAGAAAGAGAAATAAAAATATTAGAATTACATTTAGTGTATTTAAAATATTCAAAATGCTGTTTTTGCTGTTTCAAAATTTTTAAATGTGTAAAATCCTTGCAATTCCATTTTATCTGTGAATTCTTCTTTATTCTGCCCTTGGCTCCTCCACCCCATGCTCTGTGGTGCACTTTCCTAGTTTCCCCAGTGAAGTTAGTGCAAACTCCGAATCCTCAGTCCAGAGCTGCATCAGGGTCTCCATCTTCACGGCGGTTCAGTTTCCGGATAGTATATCCTAAGTGAGAACGTATGGAATGTGTGGCATATAATGTAAGCATACCGTGCTAAATGCATCTACTTGTGGATGCCTACATTTTACCTTTTATATTCCACAGAGTTATATTCATGTAACTTTACTAGCTCTTAGTCATTCTCTTTTCTTTTAAGTAGGGATAATTCAGGAGATAATATAACTTCATTTTGAAGAATCCAATTAACATTACATATCAATCCCAGAAGCATTTCTGACTCTCCTTTCACCTTTGGCAAAATTTAGAATTGCGACTGCAAGCTTGTTGACTTTGGTGTAATTGTCCTATTTAATTAATTTATGATATTCACTTATTTTTACTTCAGGAACTTCTGTCATTCACAGACGTGGCCATTAATTTCTCTGTAGAGGAGTGTGAATGCCTGGAGCCTGCTCAGTGGAATCTGTACAAGGAAGTGATGTTGGAGAACTACAGCAACCTTGTATTCCTGGGTGAGGATCACGTCCACAGTGAATTATTTCCTCATCGTCAACATATAAATAACTTCCTCCATTTGTAGAATATCTCATGGGAACTTGTGCTTTTGATTGATTAGCTTTGTTTTTTTTTTTTTGGTTTTTTTGTTTTTATATTCCTTTTTTTCTTTTGCTTTCTTGAGACAGGGTTTCTCTGTGTGGTCCCGACTCTCCTGGAAGTTGCTCTGTAGACAAGGCTGGCCTCTGCCTGCCCAGTGCTGGGATTAAAGGCATGTGCTACCACCATCACAGCTGACTGATTAGTTTCCTATGCCCATTTTTAAAGGAAAAATTAGGGGAATTGTCAATACAGCTAAGAAACATTTTCTTTTTCCTTTTGTGCTTTTAACAGATTTGTTTTCAAAGTGTGCATCCTATAGTGGCAATGTTAGAAGCTCAGTGGCGTGAGGCATGTGTGTTAAAGAAAGCGCCCCACCCTTCAACTGTAATACTCTTCTTTCTAATGAGGTTCGGGATCTGCAGGGTGTAAATTACTCCTAAGCTCCCTGTCTTTCATGGAATGTTTAAACACAGAATTTTCCACAATCATTTGCCTTCTCTTTCCTTATAAGCACAGAACTGGGGTTCACAGGTTAATTTACAGGAGAAAAGTGGTGATATTGTGTTCCCCAATATATTGTGTACCCAAATAAACTTATCTGGGGTCAGAGAACAGAACAGCCACTAGATAGACATAAAGACCAGAAAATGATGGCACACACGCCTTTAATCCTAGCATTCTGGAGGCAGAGATCCGTCTGGATCTCTGTGAGTTTAAAGCCACACTGGAAACAGCCAGGCATGGTGACTCAGACCTTTAATCCCAGGAAATGATGGCAGAAAGAAGAAAGGTATATAAGGCGTGAAAACCAGGAACTAAAGCCTGGTTACGCTTTTAGGCTTTTGAATAGCTGTTCAGCTGAGATCCATTCTGATGAGGACACAGAGGCTTCCAGTTTGAGGAAATGAGATCAGCTGAGGAATTGGTGAGGCGAGGTTAGCTATGGCTGGTTCTGTTTCTCTGATCTTTCAGTGTTCACCCCAATACCTGGCTCCGGGTTTGTTTTTATTAATAAGACTTTTTAAGATTCATGTTATAGCCAAGCATCTTGTTCCCTTTTCCAAACAGGTCTTGTTTTCTCTAAGCCATATCTGGTCACATTTCTGGAGCAAAATACAGAACCTTGGATTGTGAAGAGAAAAGCACCAGCTGCCAGCCGTCCAGGTGTGTAGGAATGAACACCGTAGAGCCCACAAGTGACAAGTCAATTGGTAAAGTGTGTATTGAGAAGTTGTGTTTTGATGGAAATCTCTTACTGTCAACGGCATTTCCTGCATGATGTTTACCATAATAATCCCTCCAGGAAGCTCTGTATGTGTTTGTAGTGATTGCCAAAGTCCTTTATTTAACTTGTTTTTTTGTATCTCTGTGTAGTGTTTATCTGTATTCATATTTGCATGTGTCCGGGTGCTTGTGCACATACAGGCTCACATGTGTTTGGGGAGGATCAAAGTTGAAGTTAAGACTCTCCCTTGATGGCTCTTCTGTCTTAATCATTGAGTCAGGGTCTCTGTCAAACTCAGAGCTAGTCTAGTCCGTTTGCTCTAGGAATTTCCCAGCCGTCACTTTCCAAGCCTGGAGTGACAAGCTGGACACCTTGCCCACCCCACATTTCCAAAGGTTCTGGGTGTCCAGTCTTCATACCTGTGTGGCAGGCATGCCAACCGCCGAGCCATCCTCCCAGTCCCAGTCCTTTCTTTTTGCCCGAGAGGGTCTAGGTTATTACAGACTTTGCTTTGCTTTCTATAAATCAGAAAAGGTCTAAACATTTCTAAAAGCCTTAGTACCACAGTAACACCACAGATAAGCATCTCTAACAGGTAAGCATCTCTAATTTCATTAGCTCATCAGCCAAACTAGTTTCATCAGAGCTGTCACGTGTGTGCATGTGTGTACACATGACACTGCTCATTTTGAGGTCAGCTGATAAAATACAAGAGTTGATTTTTTTTTTCCCTTCTACCATGTGAGTTGTGGGGATGGAGAAGAGGTGTTCAGGCTTGGGGTCAATGCTCTTTACCTTCTAAGCCATCTTGATGGTCCGATAATGTATTTTTATGAGAGTTGGGTTTATTTTTATATTTTCTTTGCCACACACTAAATGACAGAAATTTTAAATGCCATGCTTTTGTAAGTATGTAGTCATAGCTGAAAACTACACATTTAGATAAGTTTTGTCTAGTAGATCTTTGATACTCCTACAAATTGTTATGGGTCCCAACCTCATTCTCTTTTTTTCTTATTTTGCAACTCTATTTTCTGTGTTTGATTTCTTTATTCTAGACTCCTTTACATTATCTGATAATATACTTAGCTGCACCCAGGATATTTTTTTCTAGATGACACTACTAGTTACTGTATTCTTTAGGACAATGTAAGATATTAAGACACCTATGCCCTAGGTCTGTTAAGAGTGAAATTGTTATCATTTGCGTATAAAAATATTATTCCTGACTTCAAGGCCATTGTATTTTCTTTCTTCATTGGTTACTCAATAGTTGTTGTAGCCCTCTAAATGGGTGTTCCAAGAAATTGTGCAACTTATATATTTATTGACAAACATGCTCCCCTTAGCTGAACTTATGCCACTTCTAAGTAAACTAGAAAGTTTTTCATAATTTCATTTAAAGTATTTATATTATTGTTGGCAAAATAATACTCTCTTAAATATTTCATGTATATTGTGTAAAAGTGTTATGCGGCACATCTTTACAAGATTCTATAGCTTTGAAAACTGAAACTGTATGCTCAAAAAAATTGTATTTCTTCCTCCAACTAATCTATGACAATCACCATTAGCTTCTTGTTTGACATGTGTTCCAACCTGACTTTTCATGTAAGACCAAAACTGCAATCTTTATATAATGTGCTTATAGATTAAAGCTTATAGGGCTTTATATCATGCCCTTTCAGAATTTTTTATTTAGGTGTTATATCAAGTTTGGCTATTTAAAGTAAAGTTATTTTTTGTTCCACATTGTCTTCATATTGTCAGTTCAGTGGTAGATTAGGTTCTTTACACCAATATTTTCTAAATGATGCTACTGGGAATATAGGAATATAGCCTATAATTTCCCATTTATGTGATGCTTATATTGTCAAAATATAGTCAAAATTTTAATGTATTCATATTACAAATTGAGCAGTATAATTATAAAATATGGTTGTATGCTTTTACTGATATGTCAACCTCATTTCAACAGGATCAAAACCCCATAAATGTAAAGAATGTGGGAAGGCCTTTGATAGAAATTCAGTCCTTATTCAACACCAGAGAATTCATACTGGAGAGAGACCTTATACATGTGAAGAATGTGGTAAATCTTTTAACTATTCTTCCAGCCTTAAACAGCACCAAAGAATTCATACCGGAGAGAAACCCTACAAGTGTGAAGTATGTGGTAAAGCTTTTAGCTGTTCTTCATATCTGGGTAAGCATCAAAGAATCCACACTGGAGAGAAACGCTACAGATGTGAAGAGTGTGGTAAACCTTTTACTAACTGTTCAGGCCTTGTTGTTCACCGAAGAGTTCATACCGGAGAGAAACCCTACAAGTGTGAAGAGTGTGGCAAGGCCTTTAGTGTTCGCACAACACTCTCTAAACATCAGATAATTCATACTGGAGAGAAACCGTATAAATGTGATGAATGTGGAAAGACTTTTAATGTTCACTCAACACTTTCTAAACACCAGAGAATTCACACTGGAGAGAAACCTTATAAATGCGAAGAATGCGGCATGGCCTTTAATGTTCGCTGCATACTTTCTAAACACCAGAGGACCCACACTGGAGAGAAACCCTACAAATGTAAAGAGTGTGGCAAAGCCTTTAACTGTTCTTCCAGCCTTCATCAACACCAACAAATACACAGAGGAGAGAAACTCTACAAATGTGATGACTGTGACCAGGCCTTTAGCTGTTCTTCTTATCTGTATAAGCACCGGCGAATCCATAGTGGGATGAAACCCTACAAATGCAAGGAATGTGGCAAGGCCTTTTACTGTTCTGTAAACCTTATTTACCATCAGAGAATTCATACTGGAGAGAAACCATATAAGTGTGATGAGTGTGGAAAAGCCTTTAGCATTTGCTCAACTTATATGAAACACCAGCGGATACATAGTGGAGAAAAACCCTACAAATGCAAAGAATGTGAGAAAGCCTTTAATAATTGTTATAATCTAATTCAACACCAAAGAATTCATACTGGAGAGAAACCCTACAAGTGTAAAGACTGTGGCAAAGCCTTCAATTATACTTCAAGCCTTGCTCAACATCAAAGAATTCACACCGGAGAAAAACCCTACAAATGTGAAGAATGCGGTAAGGCCTTTAATTCTTCTTCAAACCTTAAACATCATTGGAGACTTCATACTGGAGAGAAGCCCTACAAATGTGAACAATGTGGCAAAGCCTTTAAAAATTGTTCAGGCTTTACTCGGCACTACAGAACTCATATCAGAGAAAATGCAGATTAGTGCAAACACTGTCAAAAAGCCTTCAATAATTGTTTATTGATCCTTCAACATTAAAGAATTCATATGAGAGAGAAATTTTAGAAATGAAAGGAATAAGGGAAGACCTCTAATAACAGTTCAACCCTTATTCAACATCCAACATTTCTTTCATACCAGAAAAATCTTGTAGTGGTGAAGAAGATGACTGTGTTGAGCAGTCTATATTTATGCAACATCAAAAATTTACATTTTAGAGAATCCCTATAAATGCAAGTAATGTGGGAAATCCTCATTAACCATGAGTGAATTATAATCAAACTTTATACATGCGTAATGACTTGGGAAGGAACAGTAAAATATATAAAACTGAGAAAAGCTACTGGTAAAAAGCAGTGTAAGCAGTGTTGCAAGACTTTAGTCATTAGGTAGACCTAAAGAGAATATAAGGGAATGATCATAGACAAACTTCATGAATTGTATGTATAGAATTTAACAAAGCATGAAATATTGCTTTTAATTTCTAGGGGAATTGTTGTTGTGATAGAAAAACGCATTACAGACTTTGGGGTCATGCAGATAACTCAAATCTTTGAGGATATGAGTATGCTATAAATCCAAATTATAACATAGGCTCAATTTTGAAAAAAATGTAAAGATCACAACTGCTAGATAATTTTATCAGAAGAACATGACTGAATCCTGAGGCTTGAGAGTCTGTTTTTTTTTTTTTTCCCAGAGATCATACAATACATTATTGGAATATGAAGTTTAGTGACTTTTGTAAATAAAAATAAGTGGTTCTTAATGCACTTTTAATGTTGTGTATAGAATTACATTCCGCTACAGACATTAAAATAAAATCTACCTTAGTGAGGTATGATGGCTAATCTTGGCCATCCACTTGACACATCTAGGAAGAGGGAACCTCAATTAAAGGATTGTCTCTGTCAGATTGGCCTGTGAACATGACTGTTACATTTTCTTGAGTACAATTGATATAGGAGGTCCCAGTCCACTGCGGACAAAACCATCCCGAGGCTATATGGGCCTGGGCTGTATAAGAAAGATGACTGAAAATGAGATGGGAGTAAGCCACTAAGTAGCATTCTTCCATGATCTTTGCTCAGGCTCCTGCCTTCAGTTCCTGCCTTGGATTTCTTCCGTGATGGACTGTTTTGTATAAAATGAAACCCTTTCTTACCCAAGTTGCTTTTTGGTCGTGGGGTGTGTCAAAGTAACAGAGAAACAAACTAGAACATAAGGGATCTAGGTAATATTTTACTTACACACTACTGAGGATTAGTGGGATCGTCTGTTCCCAATGTTCATGTGCTTCAGGTAATTTGTAGCATATTATCTTTTATGTTATATCATTATTCATCCACCTTTCAATTACTTTCATATCATGTGTTTTATAGAAATAAAGTTATACCCTTTTTGACTCTTGTATTTTATATCAAATTCTATCAAAACTTTTACTGTAGACCCTCTTCAGCATAACAGTGCGCACACTGCTAGTGGTCATTCATATCAGCTGAACTATGCAACTGTAATATGAACTTTGGCATGAAACTAAGGGAACTTGAGAATAAAGGGATTGCTCAAATATAGGATGTCTTAGTTAGGGTTTCTGTTGCTATGAAGAGACACCACGATAACAGTAATCTTAGAAAGGACAATATTTAATTGTTGTGGCTCACTAACAGTTCAGAGGTTCAGTCCATTATCATGGTACATGGTGGTGTGCAGGCAGAGGTGCTGCAGAGGTGCAGCATGGTGCTGGAGAGGGAGCTGAGACTTCTACATCTTGCAGGCAACAGGAAATGGATGGTCTCACTGGGTGTGGCTTGCGCATATATGAGACCTCAAAGCCTGCCTTCACAGTGACACACTTCCTCCAACAAGGCTACACCTCTTAACAGTGCCACTCCCTTTGGAGGCCATTTTCTTTTAAACCACCACAGAAGGTAATTTTGAAATAGTTTTCATTATCAAACAGTCAACCACATATTCTGAAACACACACATACCCCTGATCTTCACAGAACTCATTTCTCTGAAATGATTGCTTTTCAGTCTTTTGATGCTAATTCTAGCATTATTGTTAGTCTTTTACCACATAATGCATTGTTTATAAAAGAATGAAGGTTTATTTTACCAATTATGTGCTTTTAATAGTGTCTAATATTTTTTAATCATTTTCAGAAATTGCCTTTAAATTATGATACCAGAACAAATATACTAGGTTACGCATCCATTTATTATTACATCTCATTTTTTTTTAAACTTATTCCTCCTTTCCATTTTGGTAAGACACATCTTAATATTTGATGCTTATTGAGATACTGTGTTAAGGTGAACACAGGGAAAGCTTCATATAGATTATTGTTAGAAACAACAGAACAAAATAATCTTCCCTAGCAATAAAAAAACTCAGAATAGGATTCTTGCTTTTTTGAAAAAAGAAAACTGAGGAAATGGTGTGAAGAGACTTCAGAACAAACACTGAGTTTATGAGACAATGTTCCTTTTCCTAGTTGTCTTATTCTTTGGTGTTCATTTTAACCTGCAGCTGTAGGTGCTTCACAGCCATTGTCCTTTATAACCAATACTATGGCTCTCATTTTCTCATCTCCCCACTCAACTTCATCTCATCAGAAATGACTGTTTCTGATGTGTACTTCCAGTTACTCTAATATAAGGGTAGTTTTGTTTAGGTAGTCATGGCACCCTTCATTTCAAGGGTTTATTCCTAATTGACTCAAAGTAACTGCAGTTGTGCATGCTGTAGAATATGGTTTTGGTATATTTGTCAATTATATAATAAATAAAATTAGCAGATCTGGCTTTTCAAACATTTATGATTTTCATGGTAAAGATATTTAGGATCCTTCAGGCTACTGTGTTACTGAATTGCAAATTATGAGCTGTCAGTATCCTGTAGTGATATTGAGTGCTTCCCATGTGTATTAGCTATTCATATGTCTCATTTGGAGAAATAATTTCTGCGTAATGTCCAATTTTGAACTGAATTATTTTAGCAATTTTTGCTATATTGTTTGACAACACTATCATCTGAATTAACCATTGAGTGACTCATTTTGGATAAACATTCACCATTGAATTCTAGAACAGATGGAATGCACATACTCCTACACGTTGCACAGATTTTGGCTCTTTCTACCAGGTAATCGTTAGGGAAAAATTCATTAGTGAAGCCTCTCTGGAAGCCCAAAGTTATAGTTTTTCACTCTCCCCTGGTCTTCATTTCCTGTTTGCAATCTAGAATCCTACACTGCTGGTTTTTTTCTTGGTAGTATGTGAAAGAATACTGCCTTCATAGCAATCTTTATTAGGGAGTTAGGATCAAAGCATTTACATTCTGTGTTTTCAGTTTCCATTGTTTTGTTTGTGAGCGGGGTGCCACATACACCAAACTTGTTTCCGACTTGCTCTGTACCTAAGGATGACCTCAGCCCTCTGATGTCTCTGTCTCCAGTACCCAAATGCTGGGATTCCCAGCATGGAAAACCACACTTGCTTTCTTTGCAAGCACCTTTAGTTTGAATTTCAAAATACCCAGACCATGAACACTTTTCCACATATCCATTATCTGTTGGCATTTCACATTTTAAGAATTGTCTTCACAGAACATTTGCCTATTTTTTTTAAATCCATGATTTGCTTTTTGTTGTGAATTCTTTTGTAGTACTCCATCATATCCTGGATATTAAACTTCCGTCTGATATAGTTGGCCAAGAATTCTCCCTACTCTTCATCTGTTATTCTCTCTAGTGTTGTTTCCTTTGCTGTGCAGAAGCTTCTTAATTTCACGTGATCCCACTTGTCAATTCCAGTGATCATTTCTTATCTTTCTGGAATCTGGTAACCTATCCCCATAACTTAGAAATTTAAAATCTTTGATTGTTGATTTTTCTCAGCAGGGTCAGAGATGTGGATCTACTTGTATTCCCCTCTATATGGAATCTAGGCTTCCCAGCACGTTATTAAAAAGGTATTTGGGGGCTGGAGAGATGGCTCAGAGGTTAAGAGCACTCAATGGCTGTTCTTCAAGAGGTCCTAAGTTCAATTCCCAGCAACCACATGGTGGTTCACAACCATGTAGAATGAGATCTGATGCCCTCTTCTGGCATGCAGGCATGCATGTAGACAAAACACTACATACATAATAAATAAATAAATCTCTTTTATGAAGGTATCTTCTTCAGTATATGTTTTTGTTACCTTTGTCTGTAACCATTTGGTTTGTTTTAGATCACACACGTTTCTCTCTCTCTCTCTCTCTCTCTCTCTCTCTCTCTCTCTCTCTCTCTCGTGTGTGTGTGTGTGTGTGTGTGTGTGTGTGTGTGTGTGTGTGTGTGTTTTAATTTTGTTTGAGACAGGGTTTATCTATGTAGCATTGGCTGTTCTCTATAGACCAGGCTGGCCTCACACTCAGAGATTTTGTCCCTCTGTCGCCCAAGTGGAGGGATTAAAAGTGTACCCCTCCACTGCTCAACCCTTGATCTTATATTTTATTCCATTGGGTTACATGTCTGTTTCTGTGATATACCTTGCAGTTTTTGTTACTGTGGCTTTTACTTTTGTCTAATGTAAGTTGAGGTTGGACATTGTGTTACTTCCAACAATGTTCTATTAGAGATTGCTTTTGTTATTCAGAGACCTTTGTGCTTCCTTGTGAATCTTTAAGTTGCTGGATTTTCTATTTCTGTGGTCACTTTCTTTGGAGGTTTTCCATCACTTCTTAACCACTTTCTAAATTTCTCAAGTGATTCTTCCATTGCTCTGTTTATCTAGTTTCCTATCTTTGGTGCATTTTAGAGATGTCTAAATAACTACTAGTCATGAAACATTTTTACATTTCTTGACTTAGGGAGTCTTCCATGTTCAACTTTGTCATTTGATCTTTTAACCTTTCTGAGAATTTGGTCAGATCTTCCTTCTTCCTTTGTTGAATATTAATGACCTCATTCATGGTTTGGTATCTGGTGATTGATTCCAGATTCCTTTGATGATAAGATTCCTCTGGTCACTCATATGTTCTTGATGGGTCTTTAACATCTGTGGCCCAAACCCTGGTAGAAATGGGTTGATCTCTCCCAAATGGCCATGGCAGCCTGCCTAATCATCATCCATTTCCCCTAGGAAGAGAATGTTCTGGATCAACATCTAGTTCATTTTGTATTCTCAGGAACATAATTCTGAAGCTGCCTTGTTATTCAGTGTATAATTGCTTCTTCATCCTGAGTTGGGGGTAGTGAGAGAAGTTTGAGACAGATACCCTTGGTTTTCCGAATACTTACTGAGGAGCAATTTCAGGATCAGGGAAAATACCGGAATTGAACATCCTGGATCAAGCCTAACGTAGAGGGAAATCCTGCCAGACAGATGTCACTTGTACACTCAGGGTGCATCATCCTCCATCCTTAAAATGAATTCTCTCAGGGCAGGGCATAGCCTGAAAAATCCCTTTAAACAACATGGAATAACTCTAAGTAGGATGTAGACTGATCTCAACACTTCTAAACAGATGGCAGATGCCCTGAACAGGGCTTAACCTTGTATCCTATCAACTTTCCAGTGCTAAACTCCTATGTGATAGCACCTAGGTAGGGCAGTGTGATAGAACTAATTTCCCAAATTACAACCTTAAATCAGGCTTAGAGCTTCCATCCATCTGGTAAACTCTAGAGGGTTCCCCTCTGGACTACTCAAAAAGGAATTTCCTTTGTTCTTGCTGGATTGCCTCAATTTCCAGGTTCCCCGCTGGGAATGGCCATCCTTATTAAAAGATTTGATCTCCTGAAATGTGTCTCTGTGCATCTGTATACAGAACCTGGGAAGAATTTTTAATATTTAAAATATTCTGCAGCAAGCAAGTTTTAAATCTCAACATACAGACTCAAAGTAAGCAGTAAATCTAATAAACATTGCTGTCAAAGGTTCGACTCACATCCAAACATCTCATTTGGAGAACCCGAGATTTTAAATGCCGCAGCCTGACCCCTGCGGCTGTCCATGTGCACACATGGCTTGTTCCTACCCATCCTCTTCAGCAAACAGTCAGACACTAACCCAGGAACTTTGCCAATTACCTTCCCAGGCTTCCCGAAACTCGCTCACACGGATTTGTGGGAAATGTAGTCTCGCCCACGGCGACGTCACAAACAAGGACTCTGGGAAGGGCGCTTCCGCGTTCCTTCTGCGCCTGTGCGTTCTGCTCTCTGGCCGCCTTCTCCAAAGTTGGGCCAGTGTCGCGGGTCCTCTTGGCGCTCTGGTAGCATCTCTGACATGGAGGTGGGTCCAGGATGTAGCGGAACCAGAGGGACGCTGCGGGGTGGGCGGGTCCGAGTTGGAGGGAGGCGGGAAGAAGCTGAGTGGGAGGTGCTGTGCTGACCTAGGCTGGGCCATTGCCCCTGGATACAGGTCCGCGCTGGGGAGAGAGGCTGATGGGGATGGTGCAGGGAGCGGCCTTTCCGTTGGGATGCAGCTTCCTTAGTCTGTCCTGCCCTTCTGGGACAGGAGAGCTGGCTCAGAAGCCCAGGAGTGGAGAAAGATGATAGGTGTAGGATTGCCCCGGTAGGGTGCATCTGCTGACAGCCTGTCTGGGAGGTGTGGAAGCATGCCGTTACTAGATAACACTGTGTTGATGGCAGCTCTTCTCCTGAAGTTCTTGGCTTATTTGGAGTAAGTGGAATTTCTGGGCCCTCCTGTGCTTATAGCCTGCTAGAATTTTGTCCGAGGACTCTTGGTGTGATAGTTGTTTCTAATTGTCAACCTGACACAACCTAGTGTCACTGGAAAGAGATTGTCAGTGACCATTTGTCTAGATAAGGTTAGCCTTGGGGACTGATTGCCTTGATTACTTAATTGATGTGGGAAAACTCCGCCCCACAGTGAGCCTCACCATTCCCAGAGTTTGGGTCCTGGACTGTATAACAAGGAAGAAATCAAGCTGAGCCCTGGGAAGCGTGTGTGCATTCCTTCTTTCCCCATTCTTCTGCTGATGTGACTAGCCGCCTTGACATCTTGGCCGTGGTGGACTCTAGTCTAGAACTCTCAGCTTTTTACCCCTAGAATTTGGGGGGGGGGTATTTTATCACAGCAACTGGAAATGAGATTAAAACAGGATATTATTCCCTAACCATTATTTTAATTAAATGTTTTTTTTTGAATTCCATACATGATTACTGTATTTACATAATTTCAACTTTTCTTCTCCTCTTTCTGTTTCCTCTACTTCCTCTTAAATCCAAGACCTCTTCTTGTTATTTTAAACACACACACAAACACACACACACACACACACACACACACACACACACGTAAACACAGCCTGGCAAGTCCGTTTGGTGTTACTTGTATGTCTTTAGTTCTGATTTCTTAGGATTGTATGATCTATCAGAGATTAATCCCTGGAATAGATCCAACACCCATTTTGACACCGGACATGCATATGTGGCATGCACATACAAGCAGGCAAACACTTATACACATAAAATAAAAATAAATAAAACTTTAAAAGGATTAAAATAGTTCTTTTCCACCCTTGGGTATGCTTTCTCATTCACTCTTTTCAGCCCTCTGCTTGCTCCTGCTTTTCCTCTTTTTCTTGGGTTTCCTTCACACCATCCTGTTCACAATGACTTCAGTTACTGATGAAACCAAAATATTGCTTACATTCTGACTATGTCTTAGCATTTAAGCATAAGTGCTGATTGTCTTCTCCTAACAATGTTCGTTGATGTCCAGAGGTATTTATGATCATTCTAATTAGAGATGAGAAATACAGCTTGTTTTATTCATGGTGCAGGGGGTAACACCACCAAGATCTCCTGCCAACCACCCGAGGACTTCCCTTCATCTCCACTCAAAGTTGATTCTTTGATTTTGCCATAGAAAAAAATTTCAGGATGAGCCCATATGAAGCAGAGTTGGAGTTCATTAAAAAACAGAGTTGGGAAGTCAGGGAAGGAATAAGGCACCTCAGAAAGCATGTGGGGTGGGGGCGTGTGTGTGTGTGTGTGTGTGTGTGTGTGTGTGTGTGTGTGAACTTCTCCAAGGAGTATCTTTGCAATAGCCATATGTAGCACTTTGTTAGCTCCCAAGTTAGAACTCAAAGGGTTCCTGAGGAACCTCCTTTGAGAAAATGCCTCCATGAGATCCAGCTGTGCTTCTGGGAGCGGGGACCCTGGATGTTTTCACCTGTTGCTGCTTTGTTACCTCAGACTAGCAGTTATTGGGTCACAGTCCCATTGCGAGTTTTTGATAAGAGAAATGTTTGGGCTTCTCTCTGCTCAGTTGGATTTGTGAATGGAAAGAGCTGTGATCCATAGGTTCTTCAGACTGTCCTTTTGCCACATAGGCACCCATTTACCATTTAGTTCCCCAATCCATGACATTCACCTCACTGTGAAGACGATGGGAAAAAAAGCAAAAACCAATAAATCAAGAAGCTCTTGTGGAGCTGTAACTAGTAAATCTATAAATCACCTCTTCTGGAATCACTAATCATTTTTGTATTGAAATTTTTGATTGAAGTGACTTTTGAGGAAAAAAATGTAATGTAACTTGAATGATTTAAGCCAATATTAACAAGAGTAGTACTTACATCAATTATTGAGCTCAATTTTCTAAGCAGACTGATTCTAGTGTTTACATCTACAATGATGACCTTGACATTGGATCAGGACATCACAAAGGTTTAAATGCTATTACTGATTTGTTTTTTTAAAACAAAATTCTGTATGGTCTTGAGTTTAGGCCATAATAATCCAGGGTGGTTTCTGTTAAATTCCTGCTTGTACAAAAGGACAAGGAAATTGAGGCCAACTTAATCAAATACCTTTAATCAAATATAGAAAATTGTCTAAATCTAATATTTTATACTGAAGTTCCACTCAAGATCAAGGATTGTTAAAGTAGTGAAGCCTGGTAAAAATATCAGACTTAAAGTTAACTCCATGAAGCTCATTTTCTCTTCTCAAAAATATGTATGTAATTAATCTATGTATAGAAAACTCCGGCTGAAAAGGGCCACAGCTAAGAACTGGTTATTCTGGCATCATTTTATTCAGGGAAACCTTGATGGCTTTGGCAGTGGTCGTTTTGTTGCTGTGGGAAAGAGAGAGGAGATGGATCACATAAGCACTAGGAAATAGAAAGTGTGTAGGACTGAACATTCTTAAAGGAGACAGGCGATGATTGGAAGTGACTAACATCATCTGGTGGACTCGTGGGCCACGCTGGGGTCAGTGGTGAGAGTTTGTAGCCCCAGTATGCCCTTGCACAGCTCAGTTCCACTTCGTCCCACATGGTGTAAACTGGGCTGGGTGCTGGGAACACAGGTGTTTCAACCTGTTGCTGTTTGTCTCCTAGGACTGGCAGCACTTGGGTATAGCCCCATATTTCCACTGAGGGTTTAAGGTAAAGGAATGCTGGATTCTGTCTCATAGGTGGGATTTATGGGTATAAGGAGCTGTGGTCCATGGGGTCTTCAGCTCTTTCTCCACATGCTCACCCATTTACCATTAAGTTTTCTAAATATATCACACAGAAAATCTCATGTCTAGGAGTTCTTCCCTGCAGCATGTGTCTTTCTAGAGCTTGGGATATATTTCTACAACTTTAGTTTAACCCCCTGAGCTCCCAAATGCCTAATCATCTTGTACAATAACTTAATTATCTACCCTTTCTTGTACTACATTTTTCCAGGTCAAGAAAATTTTTTAAAGGAATGGATAAATTTCTAGACACAGATGATATGACACAGACTAGGATGAGTGATGTCACTTGGTAGAGTGTTTGCCTACCATGCATGAAGTTTTGGATTTGATTCCCAGTACTCCATAAAGTGATATTCTTCACAGAACTAGAAAAACAATCCTAACATTCATATAGAAATATAAAAGCAAATGAAAAACCAAATAGTCAAAGGAATATTTATCATGAAGAGCAATTCTGGAAGTAGTACAATACCTGATCTCAAGTTATATTACAGAATCACATTAACAGAACCAGCATGGTTCTGCACAAACACAGATATGTATGTAAACTAGTGGAATAAGAGAGAAGACCCAGAAATAAACATATTTAAACCATTTAATTTTTTTTGAGACAGTTTCACTGTGTGGCTGTCCTGGAACTCATTCTGTAGGCCATGATAGCCTCAAACTCACAAAGATCTGCTTGCCTCTGCCTCCCAAGTGCTGGGATTAAAAGGCATGCACCACCACCACCACCACCACCACCAACACCACTTAATTTTTGATATATATTATCAGAAACATATACTGGGAAAAAGACAGTGTCTTTACAGCTACTGTAAGAAAACTGGATTTCACATATAGAATAGCATAGGGAATATTCCCTTGAATGGACAGTTATAATATATAAAAATAAATGTCTTAACTATAATGAAGAGACAGCCTACAGAATGGGAAAAAAATCATTGCTAGTGACATATCAGATGGGGTACTAAGACTAAATACATAAAAAGTAATGCAGAAATTAAGCAGGCCAAAACTAAACCATTCAATCAATAAATTGTCCAATAAACAGACAGTTTTCAAAAGGACAAATGTGATGCATGATCCTACTGAGTCTTAACAATAAAAAACTGGAGTCAGATATTGAAGGTTAAAGCTGAAAGATTAGAGAAGCAGAGTAACAGCCACTAGAAACTAATTACCTCTACAAATCCATTGAATGGAGGTGGTCAAGATCCTGTCTCCACCCACTTTATATTCTTGTCTCCACCTCCCTCGTGCTGGGATTAAAGGTGTGTGCCACCACCACCTGGCCTCTATGGTTAACTAGTGGGTAGCTCTGCCCTCTGATCTCCAGGCAAGCTTTATTTGTCAGAACACAAACAAAATATCATACATTTCCCCCTTTTTGTCCAACTAAAAAGTGAAGGTTTTAACTAACATGGAAAAAACTATGTACAATAACTGTACACAAATATATACAGGCAATAATTACATTAACAATGTCTAGTCCATTAGTATTTGACAAATTCAGAGAAAATACCCATTATCTATCCTGTCTTGGTGAGTCCAAATTGTTGTATCTAATTTACTTTCTATCCTAACTTGTATTACCAACCCAATACCAACCCAAAGCTATCTTTTTATGTCTTTCAACCTTATATCTTTACACCTCTTTTGTGAGTTTCTTTTTTGAGTCTGGTAACAAGGACAGCTATAACTGTCTAGTCTTCAACTCCATTAGGGTTCTGAGAAAGATACAATATTACCTGAGTAAACAGGAAGTGTAGAGCAAACAACTTCCAAAAA